CTTTCAATTTGTGTTTACTTAGGGATTTTTATTTGAAAATTTTGGGCCTATTTTCCAAAGGACTCCCACTTGCGGCTTTTTAAAGTACCCTAGCATCAAAGCTAGGTCTCCAGTTAAGTTTATTTGTGAGCTTAGGCTCTGGGGATTAGATAGGTTGTGTCTCTCATTTGCAGTTGATAGTAACAGTGATATGACTCATGCCTAATTGATTGGTTTCCTGTTTAGTAAATGATGCATTCTATAATTCACAGTATTACAAACCAATTTGGACTATTTAGATCAGAAAGAACAGCTCTCTTCTCCAAAACAGGAGTTTTTTCTTTCTATCGGACTTTAAACCTGTTTGAGGGATATGAAATTGTTAGATCAGATCCTGTTCATTATCTCTGCCTGTCAGTGCAGCTGGCTATAGACCTGAACGTGACAAAATACTAGGAAAAAGGTTATTGGCTCAAATGTTTAGGCTGAGACAGTTCTGCTAGTTGGCAGAAACTTCAGCTCAGCATTCAAACTAGCATATGATTGCCCAAATCTAATCTATGCCATGCCATCTATCTCTGATGTTTATATTTTCCAAGTGGATGATTTCACCTCCTATGTAATCCATGGTGCCATTTTTAGAGTTCAACAATGAGGAGACCAGAGGCTTTCAAGGTGCAATAACTTTCCGAGCCCTGCTCCATTTGCCTAAAGAATGCTCTTATTCTCAAAAGCATCGTGTGTTTCCCAAGTGTAGCTTAGCAAATGAAAGAGAAGTCAGTCCCTTAGAAGTCAAGTGGGAAAACACAAGAAAACATCTAGGTGCTGCTTTGGGTAGCAAAAGAAAATCACTGATAAACTTGGCACTTGGCCAGCACAGCTCCCAAGCTCCACCATCAAACATCAGAATGACTTGTGTATTGCCTTTAAAACCTGATCTCTTGCCGAGTGATTTACATGGGGGCCTGTAGAACCCAGTGAGTGGCATGAGGAGTTTTGGTGTGCTGCTGCCCAGGCTGTGTTAAGGCAACAGATTCCCTTTTGCTAATGCATCAGGTGTAAAATATGTACCTTTTCCTTTTTAGTAAACATTCTCTGTCTCTCCATCCACCTCCTCGTGTCTGTATGTCTCTTTCTTTGTCTCCCTCTGTCAAAGTAAATCTGGCTGCCATGCACTGTAGTTAACTCAAAATATTGCTAGCATTAAATGTGCCCAGACATTTTTATTAATACATTAAACTTGCATGAAATTTTTAGGTATTATAATTTACCAAGCTTACACCAAGATGGCATGTGAAACTGACATGAGCTATTAATTTAAAAAGAGGACATTAAATAATTGTCAGTTGACATCTAAATTACTGTTTTGTTAGCTGACAGAAGCTTGCCTCAAGCCTTTCTCTTCTCACGTGTTAGTAAATATTCCATTGAGTTTAAGAGCATCCCATTATGAATCAATTGTTTAAATCTTGATGTTATATAACTGACTGAATAAAGTGGTAAATACTGTTAATTATTTCACAATATGCTGTCAGTGTCATGTGGGTGTAAAAACACTTCTGTTTTAAGTATTTTGGAAAGTGTCAAGGAGGACAGGTCAGAATGCTGCCTGATTTTAGTGGAAACATGTTCTTGCAATGTGTTGGTTAGGATCAGTACCAGGTAATCAGGGTTCTAGCATAAAAGAAGATTATATGCATGAAGGTCTTCTACTGGTACAAGGCTGAGCAACTCATGGGGTGGTACACCCACTCAGAGTATGTCCCAGCTAGGGAGAGAAATTACTGAGTGTCTTAAGGCACTTGAGGGAATAATGATGTGAAATTTAAAAGACAATTTAGATATAGGTGAATTTGGTGAGTGCTCTATCAGTTGGATTAAGGTTTTTTCCTGATAAAACACTAATAATCATCACTGGCTAAATAGAAAACAAAGTTGACTGCAGAAGATATGCTAGTTCTCTTTGATCCTAAAGGGGTAGTGTCTTGATTATCACTGAGCGGTTTCAGGTTGCCTGTATCCTTGACGGATTCAGGATGACTGTATGATTGGTTGGAGAAAATATAGAATCAGGTGATTTCAGATAAAAATGAGCATACAGCTCGGATTTTCTTGAGGAATCTCCTTAGTATTTATAATACTGTAGTATTTGCAGTGCAAATACTCATAATGAGTAATATTTTAGTGCTCTTTTCAGGAAATAAACTGGGGGGAATTGTGGTGGCTTTGTGTTTGTGGGGTTTTGGGGATTTTTTTTTTAGTTGCCACTGTTAAGAACAGCTACATGCCATACATCTCCTTTCACAGATATATAACCTCAACCAGTTAGATGAAGAATGTCGGAAGCCAAAACATGGTATATAACCCCATTCTTTGAGTCAAGTTTGGTCCTACAACAAAGAGATGCCAGCATGGGTGAAAGTCCTATGGAAGTCTACCAAATACTTTAGCTATTACTTGTACTATAAAGGTCCATTTCCAACCTTTAAGATATTTCCATTAGGTATAGGGCAGTTTAACATGCCAGCACAAACTCTACCATCTGGAAATGCCCTACTCTGAAGAATGTTAGGAGGAAAGATAAAAGGAGTGCATTGAATCCTATATGATTTATTTCCTTTTGATTTTGTATGAATAGATAGCTTGGGTTGCAGAATGATGGTGCAAAACCAACTAAGCTAGTTCTGCATCAACTATCTGACATGTGGAAAAGTATAGCTTTGTTTATAAAACTTTGTTTATAAAACTTTGTTTATAAAACAAGTATAGCTTTTTTAATAAAATCTTTGTTTATAAAACAAAACTATATATTTCCTTGCTAAAAACTGATGCTATTACAAGGCTATCTGCTTTTCACTAATCCTACTAAGGATTAATTTACAGGGACATTTTTAAATGTTTGGTATGGATCTGGTAGTATTTCTACTGTCAGAACCTTCTTCAAGAGCGGTAGAAGGCTATACTGTTTCCTCAGTTTAACATCTGCATTATAGAATCCCTTAATGAGCCACCAAGGAGTAATACATAGATGCCCTGAAGTGAATGAGAACAAAGGTTTGTTATTAAATTACTGACTTTCACAGTAGAATGCAAAAGTGCAACTGATTAAGAAGCAATGGTGGATTTTTAGTTGTTTTATAATAAACTGAAGAAAGTCATCTTTGACATACATAGTTTTGCCCCCAAACATTGTGGAATTATAGCTTCTCTCAGTGGTCAGTGTCGATGGCTCTAAGGCAAAAAGTTTGTGTATTGTGTCACATTAGCAAATGTCTGTAGACTGGGATGAGGAATCATCAAAGGAGTCAGTGTAAGGTCAGCATTAAAGATGTTAAATTTTGCTGCCATGACAAAGTCAGTCACTTCTCCTAGAAAGATCAGAGGATGGTATCATAGATGTTCAGACTGTCTCTAAAGGAAAATATCACACATAATAAACAGAAAGGGGAGGAGGAGGAGTCCGATGTGGAACGGTTCATAGATCATACCATCTGCATTTTGTCCAGGCAGTAAATCTACTGCCTTCTGTGTCTCTTCTTGTCTTTATCCCTCTCCTCCCTTTATTCCCTTTTCTCTTGACACTGGTGTCTGGCTTTTCTGTTTGGGCTTAGCTCTTTCTCATGCCCTTCCCATTAGTTGTTCTGTCTTTACTGTCCTTGATAAACCAGAAAGTTTACTGGGCATTCTGTGTTTGTTCTTCTGGCCACATAACAGTCTTAATCTATTTTAGGCTAGTACATAGGAATTGTCAGTGTCTTATAAGAGAATAATGTGTTACTAGAAATGAACCATTTTGTGACAGTTAGCCCTGTTAGGTTGGGGAAGTGTCTCCCTGGGAAAGTAACAGATGCTTCATGGCTGGGGCCCTTCTCTGTTAGACAGGCAAAACATTGAAGTATTTCCTGCAAGGGGTGCCCTTGCTTTGATCTTCAACTGAGTGTTTACATATACTGTGCTCTCTTTATGAGGAAAGACTGTGATGGGGACATCATCCTATCCAGCTCTCTGAGAGAGACCAAAAGCTGTTTCTTAGGTCATTGAATACAGCTGTTGCCTTCAGTTTATGAAAATGTTGATTAATTAATGTTTGGGGGTTTTTAGTCACTTATAAAATGTCTCCAAGGGACACAAAAAGCGTCCACATCTGTAGATTACCATGAGCCGACAACTTGCAGTCCAGAGTCCCTACTCCTGTACATATCTACCCCAATGCCTATCCCTGGAGGAGATGAGCAGTGGCCATCGCCTAAGCAGTCTAGCACTGCCTCTTCTGCCTGTGAACCAGTCAGGTGCTCAAAACCTAAAATGATCTTACTGGTTTTGGGTAAGGAGGAGGAAGGTAAAGGGCAAAAATGCATCCCTTCCAGTAGGAAGGATCACTGCATGACCTTGACCTGTAAGAGTCTAGAGTGAAGGGAGTTCTCAGAACTGAGGTACAGACATAGTAATGGGGAAATCCATGATGAAGCCATTTATCCTAGTTTACATCATCTTCTTTTCCTTTTTTTTTTTTTTTTTAATCTACTGGGCTTGTGAATATATAATAGAGTAAAAAATTTGTTTGAGAAAAAATGTGTGGAAAAGTTCTAGCAATGTCAAAAAACATCCAACTTCAGCACTTTTGAAGCAAGGCTTTTGACTTTCATCCCTTGAAAATGCCTTTTTTTAAATGAGTTTGCTATTATAATAAGTAGTACAAACAAAAAAACCAAACAAACAAAAAAAACCCTTAATCAAAGCTGTTTGAAGGATTTTCTTTTTAAAAAAATCTCAGCCTGCTGAGATTTCTTTCTTATTTCTAAAATGTCAAAACCCTGTTACAAGGAATTTCTTTTTTCCATATAGATTTGCTAGATACACTGCATGTGTATCATGGTCCTCTACGGGTTTGCATGTGTGTTATGTATTATCATTCAAATCACAGTTGTGGGGAAGTATCATGCATAAAGAGAGAGGGGAGTTAAACATTACAGTTTGTGTATCACACCACCTCAGAAAACACATGGGGCAATGACTCTTACCTTCTATCCATTTTTCCATCTGACTCTAAAGAGAGAACAGGAAAACGTGGTTAGTTAAGAAATCAGGGACAGAGGGGTGATAGGCCTGCTCAGAAGTTGTGAGGATGCAACCAGGAGAACATAGTTACAGCTGGTAAAGATCCAGCCATCCTTTCTGAGGCAAAACTCTTTGATATTAGTAGTGTCATGCAACCTTCCTAAAGCCCTTTGTGATTCTTCTATCTGGAATATCTCTTGGGAATTTTCTCAGAGCTGTATCTTTGCTAGTACTTTGGCTATTTTGAGTTTGGTTGTAGCACATCCCCAGAGTGTCATAAGAAACAACTTTGAGGGCAGATGCTCAATGAGAATGAGGCAGAAGCAGTTTCCCTTTAGGCCTGCTATGTGGTGGTACTAAAGAAAGCATCAGCTATTTGTCTTTCAGGAAGTGGCATTACACTGTCATTTGTATCCTCATGGGATACCTGAGGAGTCTGTTTGCAAAATTATCCCTTAAAAGACCAGTGTTTACTGTAAATAGGATGGAATCAGGTCGTGACAGATAGGTTGAGCTCACCATAGCAGTATTGGGCCCAGAGGGCTCAGTCCACTTCAAGTTTAATAGTTAAGGCCACTCTGCTCTTCTCTTTACTAAGCAAGAGTCTGTGACTACTGTTGAAATTATGTGTCATGGTGCATTGCTGACTTACTAGGGTTAGACAGTTATGAATGCTGGAATATTACCTCTTATTTGTCACATGACAGTTAATGCAAAAATCTAGCCATAGAAGCAAATGTTTCTGAATACAGTGAATGGGCAAGCAGCTCCTAGTCCTGTGCTGTAGCAGCCTGACTGAGTTCTCTCACTGCATTTACCTTGTTTAGCGTGTGACTCATTTTTCATGGAGAAAATTGGCTACATTTATCAGAATTCCTCTGTTTTTAAAAAGTGGACTGCATGAGCTGGTACTTTGCATGTAACAAGATCTGCAAAGGTGCTTTCTTGAAATTCACCATGGAGATGAGTGGCCCAAACTCTCCTATTACAGACCCTCTTCTTTCAGAAACAATTATTTCCCTGCTTATTTAATAAGATTGGCTCACTGCTTCCATTTCTGCTATGGTTTCCTTCCAACACAAATTTTCATGTGCTACTAAGAGTACAGACCTCTCTTGACAAGCAAAATGTAGGTTGCAAATATTTGCCTTAGCAAAGTCCCAGGAGTCTCTTTAGTGAAAAATAACAGCTTCTAACATTGTTCTGATCAACCTGTTAGGACTTTGCATTTTCTCATTTGTCACTATCTGTTGCTATTGTATTTGCTATGCTTTTTTATTTCTAGCTCTTAACTGCAGTTGAGTGTTACTGTGTACTCTTACTTCATTCCACAGACAAGAGTTGTATTTCAGTAGTGAAAGAAGTCATCACAATATTTTCTCTACAGTGCTCTGTGAAGCACTTCAGAGTTCTGTCAAATAAGAGAGGCTCTGTGCAGAGGATGGAGGGCTGTGGACCAGCATTGCTCCTGGGGAGGCCCATGGAACAAATTCTGCCTGTGACTAACTTCTGTCTACTGAAATGGTGGGCATTATTCAGTTTAACTTTAAGATTTTGGATTTGAATCCAAAACCATGGGTTGTAAACTGTTGGTCCAAAGTCAAAAGGAGCTGTTACTACTAGCAGTTATGATGTTAGATCAAAGAGCTTTTGCCAGTTTCAGATGAAAAACATGCTTTTCTATGGCAACTTGAAAATCAGTCACAATGCAGAAGTTATAGGGAGTTTTGCTATGTACTCTGAATATCTTAGAGTCAGTTGTATGTGAAGGAAAAGTCAGAATCAGTGAAATAAATAGTCATTTTGACTAGAAAGTGTGAGCAAACCTCTTGCCCATCCTGAAAATCCAACAGGCTCTTTAACTTATGGTGAATAGACAGAATTCTGTTTTAAAATTAATTATTCTAAAAGACAGGCAGTATACTGAAGTGAATTCTATTTCTCTTGTAAAGCTAAAGAGCAGAGTTGGTTATACTGAAATGTGAATATGCAATTCTTGGGACACCAGCACTTCAGACACTTTTAAAACAGTTCTTCAAAGGAAAACCACAGCTGTAGTCCATACACATTTCCTAACACTGAAGCTCAGATCTGCTGTATCAGAACATAAAGAGATCTAGATGTCTGGATAAGAAATCAGGAGTATTTTTTCTTACCTCCAAAGACATTGTTAATCATTTGTTTTTTGATCATGCAGATTATTACTGCTACAAAACCAATTGCTAGTAATGCTCCCAGAGTAGCTCCTATAATAACATATGTGAAATCTGCAAACATTGAAAACAAGTCAGTGAGTATACACCATTAAGTAATAAATACAGTCTTTGTGTTTCAGATGTGACATAAAGTTTCCAAAGTTCAAATGCATCCCTAAAAAAAGATGAAAAAAATCTTGTTTCTTCTTCAGAAAGGCCTGATAATGCTGAGCCAGACTAGGTATCTGAGGAAAGTCTACTCTTTCAACTACCTGCACGTCATGAAACCATGTGAACCCGTGGCTGATGTGCTCAATGCCACTTTATGATAATAGACAACTTTAGCCTTTCGTATGTGCAGGTCTCAGCTGAGTTTTAGAGCTAGGGCTCTACTTTTCCCTTCCAAAGTGAAATTCCTCATCCCCACTACCTTGCAATTCTGTATCCTGCCAAACTCTTATTCCTGCTTCCCATAGCTGCACACACACAGCTCCATCTCCACCTTCCACTCCCCAGCCTCCTGCCCCACCCAACTAGTCTGCCTCTGTAAGTCTTCATTGGAAGGAGGTAAGCAGAAGAATTTTTAAGTGTAAACTGTAAATGATACTGTAATTTGCTTCCCTGTGTGTCCGTAAGAGTCCACCTTCATCTGTCAAGCAGGAGAGTGACTGTGTTCAGGATCTGTTCTTCCTACGCTTACTACATTTACCTAAAAGTTATTTAAAAGCCCCAGTCACACAGCAGGACTCTGCTGTGCTAGGCAAAGTGCAAACACACAGTCAGATAATTAGCTTCTACACATAACAAGTATGTAAAGTCTTCTAAGCACATTCATTTTTGTTATATTTGTTTTGCCCCTAACTTCCTGTCTGGAAGAGAAAATCTCACCATGAACTCACCCATTTCCTCCTCAGGGTTTCCAGAAGCATTGACCTTTGCTTTCCAGTAATCTGAAATGGAAATATTTTAGCCTGTTAGGACACCAGGGAGAATGCACTACATTCAAGGAGAATGCTGTATCTGGCTATTTCCAAGGGGATGGTTGATCCTGGTAACAGTTAAGAAAGGATCTTGGCTTCCTGGAGTAATGAAGTGTTATCAGTCAAGTCAATTAGACCATCCTAGGAATGTGGCCACCACGTGCCAGTTTTGGACAGAATAGAAAATACAGTTTTAAAATTTTATATTGTCTTAGCACTGTTTCCATTTCAAAGTTTTCTCACTGCAAGCCTGAGAGCTGTATGCAAGAGAAGTTGCTATAAATCCAAAAAAAGTTTACAGATACAGTAAAGCTAATAAGACAGGCTAACAAGAGAGGATACGGTACGCCACAGCACCCCTCTCCAGAAAACATGAGTCCCAATCCTGTCTGTAGTTCCAGTCTGCAAAATGTGATTTATTGCTGCCAGAGAAGAGAGTCTTTTCCTCTTGCAATGTTATAGGCTGAAAGCAACCTGTTCGGAGACTCCCAGGCCAAGTTCCATGTTCATCAGAATGACAGCCTCCCAGCCCTTCCCTTCTCAATAAAGCCACTGAGCTGCACTGCTCAATGTGTGCAGGCCCTCAGGATGACTTGAAGAAAACAATTCATCCCCACATACTTTTTGAAGAAAACAGATTCAAAGTAAAAAAAAAAAAAAAATAAAAAGTCAGGGAAAAGGAGAGAAGTCATGTTTAGTTTTAATATTGCTTGTTTATTATAGGAAATTGCTAGAAATGTACACTCAAATGTTTATGCAGTGATGGGCATGTGAGGGTATTTCCACCAAAGTCTTTTCAATTAGCTCCAAATGACGTAACTGATGTGCAGCTGCATGAGGTGTCTGAAGCATGAGAAGGCTTTAAATGACTCCTGCATTTCAAAACAGCATGCTGTGAAATTTCTGTCTCCTGTACATGCTTCAGGCAGAACATGAAGTCCTCTCCCATAGCTATTGCTCTTAGGCAATCCACTGCCTGGGTGATAGTACATATGGGACCTGGCTGGAAGATAGCTATTCTGCACGCAGCACCAGAATCTTTTCATAGACATTCCCTACTGAAGTGGAGAATTGTGAGGGAGTATTGTCTGACTGAAACTCCAGTGGGATTTTAAGGTCTTAAATGCATCCAGTTTTTCTACTGCTAAGGTGTCCAACATAGTAAATCCCAGCTTGCCTCTATTCTCTCTCCTCCACTTCTTGTGGAGAAATAATTCTGTCTTCTTGAGGTCTTGGGGGCTGTGCTTTCATTTCTTGTCCAGTAAAATGAATGCTAGAAATGTGATTGCTTTTAAACTTGAAGCATAGTCCTCCCACTCCAAAACCAGCCATTTTGATACCTTTACAGAAATCCATCTTGTGTCTGCTTTTCAGGCTGCTGAAACTCAGGCTGAGTGTGGGATCTGGGACTACTGTAGCTATATCAGAAAAATCTGATATATTGGGTGGCTCACAACAGATTTGTTTTTATTTCCTGGTCTTAATCACATTTCTAATTTCAAATTTTCATAAACTATAAACCAAGCTTTAAAAATCTGGTAACGAGTTTAAAAAAATCTTGAGTTTTAAAGCAAATGTATTTTAAAAACTATAATTCTGAACTGAAAGTCCTTTTTTTCCCAATATTTTCTTCATAATTAAAATGTATAGAAGCTTATTTTATGCAGGCAGGAATGTTTTCTCACCAAAAACCCCATGACACTCATAGAAGGGAGTTGGGAGGGTTGGGAATCCAAATGCAGATAGGATCACAGAAGCTGGCTATACAAAATGACTAAAATCAAAGTTAAAAAGAAAAGAAAAAAAAAAAAAAGTCTGGGACTACACCGTGGGTGTAAAAAGCACAGCTTCTGATTTTTCAGACTAAAAACCAGTCTCTTTGCTCTCGCTTGTGAATTTATTTCATTATAAATTAAAAAAAAAAAAAACTTTATTCCATCCCTTTAATTATTCTTTGTGCTCATATGAAGAATGTTTTAAATTCAAACATAATAAAAGTGATATTGTATTACTTTTATTATCCTAATGATCATAATACATAGACCTTAATGTATGCTTTCTAATGGAATTAAACCAGTGACAGATTATGTGTTTTATGGCAGAAATAATATTTTACATGGAATATTTTATGTAGGTCAGTTTAATATATTGAGATTAAATTATTAGTTTCTTTTTAAAAAGGGAGGGAGGGAAATCTCTGAAAACCCACAGGACTAGAGAGAACATTTTCAATTCATACTTTCAATATGGTTTTAATTAAGGTTTAATATCATTTACTGGATGCTGCTTAAATACCATTTGCTTTTGAGGACTGTATTAGATAGCCAGTTTCTTTTCATTTCAGTTTCTTCTTAGGTGGAAAGAAGTGGATTGACTAAGTCAAATATACACATGTTGCTGTTTGACATAGATCCCATCTTCAGTTTCGATCTTTTGGGGGTGTATGCTAACCTCCCGGTACAGATGGATTAGAAATGATGCCTCAAATTCTGCAGCACTCCCATCCTGGTGCTAGCTTTCTGAATTTCTGTGTACGTGGCTCAGGCATATCGTGCAACTGACACTATAATAGAGATGTGGCCCCTGGGGCCCTGGCAGCACCAGGAGGCTGGTGAGAGGCACAGGCTGTGTTTCCAACCAGTGGGGGAAAGTTTGTGTGTGTGTGCTGTTGGCAGAGTCTGGAGACGAGACTACAGACTAGACAGGTCTTACAGAGGTGAGGGGGTGGAGAAACTCTGTGAATCTGCTGCTGCAGCCTGCCTGAGGAGCTGGGCTCAGTCCGGTATGCTGGAGCCAGGCATGCAGCTGAGGAAGCTTTTGCTTCTGGCAGCCCAGTGCAGTCCTCTGCCAGTACAGTTACCTCCCTCAAGGTACATCTGCTGAGCAGGTGATGGACCCACAAATAAATACACTGGGCTGGGAGTCCCTGGTCTGTGATCTCAGTGAATCCCTGGACAGGCTTAGCCCTCCTCAGACCTGCTGTGCATGCAGCTGGGCTAAGCAAACAGCTTCTGAGCTGCACCAAGGGACATCCTGTTCTCCCTGTGCCCTCTGCTACCTAATTGCTCTGACACAGTGCCTTGCCCATAGCTCAATGCAGTAAGGAAAGTGGTGCAGAACGCAATTTGGGCATAAGATCAGGGAGCAGGAATAGCTCACTTTCCCCACCTTATGAGATACTGTGAACAACTCCCAGCCATAACCTGTGTTGACAAACAGCAAGGTGTGCCTTGTCTTTCTCAGCACACAGCACTTGCCTTAGTCCCTTTGCTTCTGTTGCCTCCTGCTTCCATGTGACTTTTTTTCTCCCTTTCTCCCCCATCTCAGGTTTGTCCTCATTGCAGCAGATAATGGCTGGTTCTGTGGCATTGCAGTAGCCAGGGGTTCAGTGTCATTCATCTTTGGGGCAGCAAATGGGAAAGGAAGCAAGTGTCTGGGTAATTCAGAGGTAGTGTGAAAGAAAGGGATGGCTCACAGTGAGTGTCTGAGCAACCCCAGAGTCAAACGAGGAATACCCATGATAACAAAGAGGTTATAGGCAATGATCCTGTTGGAAACCCCTCCTGAAAGCCATTATTTAAAAAATAAAAGTATTGGCTGGTATTTAGTGTAGCAAAATTCCCAGCTACATGTAAATTTCGTAAGATAGGCACTGTTGGCATCCAGGCAAATGGAGTCCTTTCTCAGTCCTCAAATTAGAGTCAAAATCTGTAGTAACTGTAGTAATAGATGAGGACAAGAGTAACTCCCACATGAAGACAGGAATTTTTTGGACTCTGGTCCTTGCAAGGCACCCCTGCATACAGGGCCTATAGATTTGCCATTGCCTGCACCTATCCATGTGACACTTAGCTACATGTTAATACATTTTCCTTGTATCTATGGCAAAGTGTCATTTAGTGTAGAACATGTCTTGTTGCTCTCAAATCTGCTCTTGAGTCTGCATCTCTTTGCTCTAAGAAAATGCTACTGAACTGTATTAATAGAACTTGTGCCATTTGATTGTTGAGCAATAACTAGCCAGTAACTAGGGAGCAGTCATTGCTGACTTCAGATCTGTAAGAATGGTTGGTTACCCATGTCCCCTGTTCTGGACAGTCCCATTCCTCTGGTATCTTGGAATTGTCTACAGAAAGGTGCAGAGGGCTTAAAGGGCCAACAAAAAAGGATAGTGAGAGTGACAAATTCCTTTGTGTACCCTGAGAAGCACTGCAAGAGGATAGAGCACTGCTGTAGATCTATAAATAGCTTTGCTTGAAGAAGCTGAGGCAGGACCAGATATCATAGAGTCATAGAATGTTTTGGGTTGGAAAGAACCTTAAAGATCATCTAGTTCCAACACCCCTGCTGTGGGCAGGGACACCTTCCACTAGACCAGGATGCTCAAATCCCTGTCCAACCTGGCCTTGAACACTTCCAGGGAGGGGGCAGCCACAACTTCTCCTGGCAACCTGTTCTTGTGCCTTACCACCCTCACAGGAAATAATTCCTTCCTTATATTTAATCTAAATCTACCTTCTTTCAGTTTAAAGCCATTACCCCTTGTCCTATCACTATCTTCCCCGATAAAGGGTCCCTCCCTATCTTTCCTGTAGCCCCCTTTAAGTAGTGGAAGGCTACTGTAAGGCCACCCCAGAACCTTCTCTTCTCCAGGCTGAACCACCCCAACTCTCACAGCTTGTCCTCATAAGAAAGGTGCTCCAGCCCCCTGACCATCCTCATGGCTTCCTCTGGATCTGCATGAGCAGGTCCATGTCCTTCTTATGCTAGAGGCCCAAGAGCTGGACAGAGTACTGTAGGTGGGGTCTCATGAGAGTGGAGTAGAAGGGGAGAATTGCTTCCCTTAGCCTGCTAGCCATTCTTCTCTTGATGTAGCCCAGGATGCGGTTGGCTTTCTGGGCTGTGAGTGCACATGAGCTTCTTGTCAACCAACACCCCCAGGTCCTTCTCTGCAGGGCTGCTCTCAATCCACACATCACCCAACCTGTATTTGTGCTTGGGATTTCCCCAGCCCATGTGTAGGACCTTGCACTTGGCCTTGTTGAATTTCATGACGTTTGCATGGACCCACCTCTCAAGCCTGCCAAGGTCCGTCTGGATGGCATCCCTTCCCACCAGTGTGTCAGCTGTACCACACAGCTTGGCATTATCAGCAAACTTGCTGAGGGTGCACTCAATCCCACTGTCCATGTCACCAACTAAGACGTTAAACAGCTCTGGTCCCAACATCAGTCCCTGAGGAATGCCACTCATCACTGATCTCCACTTGGACATTGAGCTGTTGATCATATCTCTTTGAGTGTGACCATCCAGTCAATTTCTTATCTACCAAGTGATCCATCCATCAAACCCATGTCTCTCCAATTTAGAGACAAGGATGTCATGCTGAACAGTGTCAAATGTTTTGCACAAGTCCAGGTAGATGATGTCATTTGCTCTTCCTTTATCCACCAACACTGTAACCCCATCATAGAAGGATACCAAATTTGTCAGGCATGATTTGCCCTTAGTGAAGCCATGTTGGCTGTCACCAATCACCTCCTTATTTTCCATGTGTCCTAGCATAGTTTCCAGGAGGATCCACTCCATGATCTTGTCAGGCAGAGAGGTGAGACTGACTGGCCTGTAGTTCCCCAGGTCTTCCTTTTTTACCTTTTCAAAAATGGGCATTATGTTTCTCCTTTTCCAGTTAGCATGAACTTCACCGAACTGCCACAACTTCTCAAATATGATGGACAGTGTCTTAGCCACATCATCTGCCAGTTCCCTCTGGACCCACAGATGTATCTCATCAGGTCCCATGGACTTGTGTGCCTTCATGTTTCTTAGATGGTCTTGAACCTGATCTTCTCCTAGGTGGTTGGTCCTTCATTCTCCCAGTCCCTGCCTTTGCTTTCTGTGACTTGTGCCATGTGGTTGGAGCACTTGCTGGTGAAGACTGAGGCAAAAAAAAATTGTTGAGTACCTCAACCTTCTCCATATTCTGGGTAACCAGGTCTCCTGTTTCCTTCCAGAAATGTGGATTCCAGTGGATGCAAGCTGCAGTAGGTGGCCTGCATGCCTCACGTGAGGCAAACTTCCCTTGTGAGATTCCCCAAGAGTAGATGGTGATTTTCTATGAACTTCTGCATGAAGTAGGGTAGTGTGAGAGGTGTTCATTAGGTAAAGATGAGGCTTTTGCCACCAGAGGGTGCCTGCCCCCTTACCTAATGTCTTGGAGACCACAGTAAACCACTTAGACCTCTGTCTTTGTAGCTGCTGCCAGCTCCATCCTCCATATTAGTCTCAATGTTAATATGATCCCTGCTGACACTTCCTGTCCATAAGCCCCACTTCTTCCCTGCACAAAGTGAAGGTGAGGAACTGTGAATTAAGAGGCAAGTTTTGAAAAAGCCCTGCTTTGTGCTGGCAGGAAGCATTAGAAGCAGTGTGAGACATGAACATCAAAGTCCTGTAAGGGAGAGTCACAGAGACCAAAGGTGGCCTGCAGACAGCATGCACAAAAATCAACTTTTTATTTATACTATACTGAATTACTGTTTTCTATACAGTCCCAAACAGGATGCTCAGGAGGTCTGCCATCTCATCTGCAAAGATGCAGGTATTTAACTTCATAGTGTTTTCTGGATTGCACATAGCTGACCCCTTAGCACTGAGTCTAGGAAATATTAGATAGAAAACTCAGAAAAATACCCCACTGTCTCAACAAATGTTATTTCTCCAAGGAACAGAGTTCTAAACAAAGTTTTAACAACTTACATACAATTATACTGGGAAATAAATAACCCCACCAAGCTCAGGAAGAAAAAATATCTCTCAAAAAGGATGGAAAATAAATATGATAGATCACTTACGTAAGAGAAGAAGAAATGCCATAAGGACTGATATCCGACTTGTTAGTAAGATCATTGTGAAGTTTTGACAACAGAGTGGTTTCACCCAAATTTTCTGAATTTAGCTCTTCTGCAGTGTCTTTTTTTTTTTTTAAAAAAAAAAAAAAAAGGCTAAAGCACGTCACATGACTATAGTGGGAAACTGCAGTCATATCCTGAGTAGCTACATTTGCAAACAGAAGTTCCCTTTTTTGGGTTTAAGTTCAAGACATAAATAAACTCCTTGCTTGAATACGTTCTGTGGAGAAGGTGGACAGCCAATGGTCACAGCCCAATTCAGCTGTTTTGCTCTCTAAGGGACCTGTAAAAGCTAACATTTATTTTTACAAAATTGAAAAAGTCCTACCACAGTGAATTGATTTCTGCCGAAGTCTTTCAAATCCACGGACATGCAAGTGGATTTTCTGTCTTAGAAGGAGAAGTTTCTAAGGCACTCTCAGTGTTGCCAGGTTTTTGTTTTTTTTTTTAATTCGACATGAATGCCATCATAACGTTTTGAGGAGAGGAGTACTTGGCTGAACATTCCCTTTTCATAATCAGCTTTTTCAGGAGCAGAGTGGAAGAAATTAACCATGGCTATGAAACCATTGCAAGACAGTTCCTGGAAAAGAACTTCTACCTAAGAAAAATATCTTAACGTAGTAGGACCTACAAAGCAGGATCTTACTAGCAGATGATACTTCTGATAGGAGTCAATCTTATTCTCTGAAGCACAGTGAAAACCAGATTTTTCTGTTTTTCAGGAAAATTCATCTTTTCTAACAAGTTAACCTGTTCCAGAACTGAATGATGGCAAATGATACGAGTAAATACTAATGCTTTTTGCTAAGTGAAACCATTCCTCCCAACCCATTTCAGGTGCATCCTTCAGAGGGGGAAGGCACAAGAACATGGGCCTCTTTTTCATCAGAGGTCTCTATATTGCTTTTACCTCTTGCTTCTTGATGTAACATTCTGCTTTAGATTAGCCCTTTGATGTCTGGTATCCTTATCTTGTGAAGATGTTTATATACTCCTATCAAAAGAATCTGAAACACATCCTGAGTGAGAATTTTTAAGAGAGAAAACTCTCGGATATTTTTTTCCTACTGTTGGTGAGGGAATGTCTGAGCAAACTACTCTCAGCTGAGTCTCACAGATCAGAAACTCACTGGATGAAACATCTGTCTTGCTGAATAAATTACAGTTGTAAAGCCCTCCTTCCAAAAGTCTGTTTTTAATGGGACCATTGTAGTCCATAAGGAATGCTGGTGACTTCATGGGTATGGCCACCTTGGTGGAAAAATGACTGCAAATGATCAAGATAATCACAAATGTTTAGTTGCTCTGACAAGCTGTGAGTGAAAAATCATGTTCATGATTTCCAGGTGTTTGTGGAGGGATAAGAAAAACTATGTGTTAGCAAACAAATAAGACTCTTGAGGCACTAAAAATATAAATAAAGATGACCCATGTACCCCTCTGAGGTGGCCTTAATTCCTGGCCTATTTTGCTTTATGAAGCATAGGTAGAACTGACTGAGTGTGGTAGATGTGATAGAAAGTATTTGTTAATGCTTTGTCCTATTGTGAGTGTTTGTATGCACGCATGCATGTGTATGTAATTAATTTTTGCTCTTTCACTGTTCCTGGTTCTCTCTGGGATCAGAGTTGAAAACACCAAAACCAAGTAAACAAAATTCTCTGCACCAGCTGGATGGAAAAGATCAGGACCTTCATAAGAAACTCCCAATGTTTTCGTATCTCATGTGTTTCACCTGCAAATGATCCCATGCTCCAAGATTCCCAAGAACCACTTATGGAAGGAATAACAAGAATGTCAACTCTCTTTTTTTTTTTTCTCATCTCTTTTTTTTGTTTGTTTGTTTGTTTATTTTCCCTAGGCCAAGTCAGTGGTCTCAGGGGGCTCTTGCATTTCAGAGATGTAACTAAATATCTGAGTATTTGCCTGAACAGTCAAAAGCTGCTTGGTTTATTCCGTTGCTACTTCTCCACAAAATGCTTCAGACAGCTCAGCTGGCTGACTGCAGACTGCTGACTATGTGTGCTCCACTATTCTCATTCACAGCATACCTCCAGTGAGGAAAAGCACTGATCAGAATAAGCCAAGCTTAATAAAATCACGCTTTGTAGTAGGTTTATTCTGATTCTTGACCAAAGTGGGAAATGTGGTTTCAAACATAGTCATCATTATCAGCCTTCCCTCTATTGCCCACTCTCCACCATTCGGCCACTGGGCAGGATATATATGTTTAATTAATTCTGCTTTTACCTTCGACCTGTAAATAGTGGGAGTAATGTCAGATTTATATGTTATGTGAATAACAAGGATTTCTCAGGAGACCCTATCCTGGTGAAAGAGGCTAACTGTAATTTTCAGCTGTGAGTAATTGTATATAATATAATCCTAAATGATTTTTCTTCTGTAATTTCATTAGAGTTTAGAAATTTAATTAGATTTTGAATCACTCTGAAATAAAGTAGCAAAGCACCCAGAGACTAAGAGCAGTGGTTATTTTGTCCTCCGAGGCCAGAATTCTTGGTCTCAAATTGGCATGTGTTCATTAGGAGGAAGTTTGCAGAAGTTCTTGATATATTATTGTCTTTCAGAATGGACTCTGAATAGGTCTTTGGAGAGCATTATAAGAGCACACAATTATTATACAGACTCTTTTTGAGGCTTAAGATCATCTGCCTTGCATATACTTAATAAAAATATGCCTCTAAAGTTGTTTAAGAAACTGTGGAGATAGGAAAGATGCTCCTCCGGTGACTCAGTGCTCTTCCTGGTTTATTAGCAACTCCAGTACCTGTGTATGATGATACAGAGAGGAGTTGTTTGCTTTACTTTAATGATTAGGTAGGTTTATGGTTATTTTTATTGCTACACATATGAACTGTCATGGTGACTGTAATTAGAGGCACACTGAAATGCTTCTCTTCCATCTGAGGTTCAAAAGAAATCTGTCTTTCTGGCAAACTTTGATTCTCTGTGGAATTCTTCTCGTGAAAAAAATGGAATCAAACAAAGCAAAGTCCAGTGCAGCAGTTTATGATTGCGTGGGGTGCCAGGATAGTTTTAGTGGGTTCAGAAAGGGAATCCTCTTAAAAGATTCTGAGGGACTAGATACGCAAGTGCTTGTTGCATTTTTGTTTTAACTGGTGTAACATGGTTTGTGTTTGTGGAGATGCTCAGATTTATACTGCTTAACTAAAAAAGGCATTTGGGCATTTAGGAGCACATTCTCCAAAGCCTTTACCTATATAGCAATGCCTCTTTTCTCATTGGGGTTAGCTGCTTGAACCAGGACTATCCGCATGATTTTGTGAGATTAAGTCCTTAAAAGGCAAAGCACGTAACCAACTGAGGAGTTAAGTAGAGAGGAGGAAATTCAGATTACTTGCAGCATGACAACAATATAAGGAACCATAACAGAGCTATAGACAGCATGAATTAAATATTCTAACAGAAATGAGTGAAGGGAGAGAGAAGAAATTTTGTGAAATGAAGAATTTCAGCAGGACAAATCAAACAAACAAAAAAAGGTCTTTAAATAATGGCAATCCAGCCTATTTGAAAAGATAAAGGAAACTCCAATGCAATGGGATGCATGTCAGTCCCAAAGTGAGAAGTCAAAAGGAAACCTCCAGGATGATCAGAATGTTCTGTTACTGACTAACCTATGTAACCATTGCTAGCATCCTGTGTATTTGCCACTGCAGGCAGACATGGAGTGAAACGGTTCAGTGGTCTGATCCAAGGGGTCATTTTTTTTTTCATGAACAGCTTTCTATGACAGCTCATTATCACACAAATCCAGTCCTTAGGCTCAAATATATGCTTTCAGAGTGTGGCCAAGCAAGTCTTGAAGTCCAATTGAAAAAGATTCTTGGAAAAAGACTGAAAGTTTTTGTGCGCTTGGCTTGGTGGATATTGATGGAGATTAGGCAACCTCAGGGCAGTCTGGTGTGTGTGGACATTCTGCCTTCCATTAATGTGTCATGTCACATCATGGAACAAATTGAAGAAAACATGTTCAGGCTGATTACTGCCAAAAATCAAGGTGCTTTTGCTATGGGCATCCGGAACAAATGGAAACTATGCTTGAAAACTCACAGCTGCTCTTCCTTTGCTATTTTCTCCATCTCCTCCTCTGTCACAACTCTGAGCTGCTGGGACAACTGGGAGGGATTCCACATCTCAACAAGCAGCAGAATCACAGATGTCGGGTGTGTTAACAAAGGGAAACACGCCTGCACCAGTGATTTAATGCCTTCCTCCCTTGACATTAAGGAATACTATGGGAAACCGTTCAACATTTCAGTCTTGCTCCTTTTTTTGCCTCTCCATCTCTGTTTCCTTTTGAAGGAATGTGTTATGTTACAGAGATGCTGGTGCATTTTAAAAATGTGTTTTCTTGATTTTACTTGAGGGACACTGTAGCTCAGTCCTATTGCCAACTCAGAGAGGTGCAAGGAGGCAAAGAAAAAAGCTTTGGGACATGTGTACTTAAGTATCTTTTGTGCAACATCAGGAAAGAAAATGCCAAAGCATCCATGGCTCAGCTGAGCAGTCTATTCATTTGCAGTTGTCCTGCCCCAGATCTTCCTCTGTTCTTAGGTTTATAAAACTGTGGTGTTCCTAATGGAAGTTACAACTTTTACTGAGCTTAATGTCTTCCACACCGGGTGTATTTGGATTATTTACTCAGATGGTCTGCATCTATATGTCATTATACCTTGCTCCCCAGTGAAGAGGTTTTTTTGTATTTCTAAATCAGGCTGATTCTGTGTTATGGTGCAACAGGGAAAAAGTGTATTACAACAGAAAGCAATTTCTGCCATGGTGAAGGAAAGCACCTGCACATCACTTTGGTAAGATGTATATCTTTCAGATTAACACATAGCAATGATCATATTATGTGCTGGGACAAAACACGGATAGACAGACAAAAGTTTGGGTTGGAAAATAAATCTTTTTGCAGGAACCGTGTGGCTAATCTGTGTACTTGAAAGGTAGGTATCTGATATTTGTGTGAAAACAGTCAAATACATTCTAGGATGAGTTTCAGACTCCTGCCA